ATTACTCAGCAATAAAAAACAAGGAAATCATGAAATTTGCAGGTAAATGGTGGGATCTGGAAAAGATCACGCTGAGTGAGCTAGCCCAGAAGCAGAAAAGATGTACACGGTATATACTCACTCATATAGACATATAATATAGGATAAACCTACTAAAATCTGTACACCTAAAGAAACTAATCAAGAGGGAGGACTCTTGCTAAAATGCTCAATTCCTATCCAGAAAAGAGGATGGACATCAGAAGAAGGAGAAAAGAGGAACAAGTCAGGAGCCTGACACAGAGGACCTCTGAAAGGCTCTGCCCTGTAGACTGTCAATGCAGATGCTGAAACTTATGGGCAACCTTTGGGCAGAGTGCAGGGAATCTTAGGAAAGAAGTGGGAAACAGTAAGATCTGGAGAGGACAGGAACTCCACAAGGAGAGCAACAGAACCAAAAAAATCTGAGCACAGGGGTTTTTCCTGAGACTGATACTCCAACCAAGGACTATTCATGGAGACAGCCTAAGACCTCTGCACAGATGTAGCCTATGGCAGTTCAGTATCCAACTGGGTTCCATTGTAATAGGAACAGGGACTGTCTCTGACATGAACTGATTGGCCTGCTCTTTAATTACCTCCCCGAGGGGGAAGCAACATTACCAGGCCACAGAAGACGACAATGCAGCCACTCCTGATGAGACCTAAAAAACTAGGATCAGAAGGAAGGAAAAGAAGACCTCACCTATCAGTGGGCTTGGGGAGGGGCATATATGCAGAGGGTAGAGGAAGGGAGGGATTGGGATGGGAGGAGGGAGGGAACCACAGGGGGGATACAAAGTGAATAAAGTGTAATTAATAAAGAAAAAAAAAAAAAACAACAAAGTTACATCCTGCCCTTCTCTCATTTCTAGCCAAAACATGAAATCTGCCATATCCCATGTTTTAGAGGGAAAGTGGATGGTATATTATATGACTCATACAAATTAGTCTTAAGCTAAGATTCTCCTAGTTTGCAGAAAGTTTTTCCTTCATCATAAATTTTTATCCAATGTTTTTAAAGGCTGAGGGGTAAGGAGGAGAAAAAGAATTTCCCTGACATCTTCTGTAATTACAGTGAGCACTGAATCTACTGTGGTGAGCACTGACTCCATTTCTTCTGCATTATGGTGAGCACCGAGTCTGGTTCTTTTTTTTAATGCCCCAACGTTCTAAGTACTGGATATGTGTCTGTGTTTAATAAATACTTACTGATCTGACTTATTCTTACATGCTGACACTGACATCTATGATTTGGCACTGACTAGGAATGGGATGTTCCACACTGATGAATTTTTAAAACAATAAGCTTAATCCATTAATCAGTTAAACAAAGGCTGGAAAGAAGGCTCAGCAGTTAAGAGGGCTCGCTGTTCTTGCACAGGACCAGAGTTTTGTTCCCAGCACTCAGGTGGGCTGCTTACAATTACCTGTAACTTGAGCTCCAGGGGACCTGACACCCTCTTCTCCCCTCCTTAGGTATTCACACATATGTGGAAATATACTGACACATATGTCAAAAACTTCTTAAAAATATCTTAAAAACACAACAATGAAAACTAGTTAAACATGTGGCTAGAGAAATGGCTTGGCTCTTAAGAGAACTGGCTGCAGAGGTCTAGCAGAGCAACCTGAGGTCCTCAGGTACAATGAGGTCTATTTTAACTTTATTGAGAAAGGGTCTTGGTAGATAGTCTTGGCTGCCCTGGCACTCAAGTAGCCCTTGGGAATTTCAAACTCAATCTCCAAAGTGAACAATATAGGCATGTGCCACCACACCTGAATTTTTTTTTGTCAGAGTTTTGTAGAGATTATTTAAACAACTTTGAATTCAAGTTTGTTTTATCTTTTACTAATCTCCTTTGTTCCACTCGAGGGTGGAAATAAAGTGTGAGAGATCTTTAAATTTCTTATACTTTATAAAAATTTGTCAGTTCTCATAATTGACAGAATTTAACTAGTCTACAAAAACAAAACAAAACCCCAAAGCCAAACCAAAACAACAACAAAACTCCTTAGACTTAGGAATCTAATATAAACAAAGAGACAAATGAGAGTTGTATATAAAAGGAGAGAAGGTTAGCACTCCCCTTGACAAAGATGAAAGAGGCCACTGGGCCAAACAATATGCATAAGATTAAGGCATCTAACCATTGTTTTAGAATCACCCAATAATGGAGTAGAGTAGGGTACGGCCAGACATCTCTTGACACTAGACGAAACTTCTGGTGCCAGAAATGGGTTACATCTAATTGAATTGTTGCACAGCGGATCACAGAAACCCCCAAACAATACAGGATATTGATAAGTTTCTAAAAACTGATGGTAAGGCCTACTGCTGAAGACCACAACTACATAACTCACTGAACATCAAGTTGGAGCCTATATAGAGCTGTCACTCTTACTCTGCACACTATAAGAAGAGAAAGGCAAATACCAACCCAGCCTAAACCTTTTCATTTATAATGGTGATCTGCCTTCAAGACACACTGATGCAAGAGTAGAACAAAAGTAGTGTGAGCAACCAACCACTAATTGGATTTAAGGACCACTTCATAAGATGGAATCCATGCCTGACAATACTCAGGTAGCCTAAAACTTGAGACAAGATAGTCCATGTACATAGAGGAAAACGAAACACTACTGTTCTGCCAAAGGAACGTAGCAATAACAGCATTCTGCTATACTTGGAGATCAGTGCCTTGTTCAGCCATCATCAGAGAAGCTTCCTCCTGCAGCACATGGGAACAAATACAGAGACCAACAGCCAAACAATATGTGGAGTGAGAACTTTGGAACACACAGTACTAAATGGGATGTCTCCATCAAATCTCCCCTCAGGCCTCAGGGAACTCTGCAGAATAAGAGGCAGAAAGATTGTATAGTGACAGAAGATACCAAGAGAAAAAAAAAAGCCTTCTAGTAGGCACGATAGGACTGACACATATATGAACACTGAGATTGTGGCAGCATGCACAAGGTCTGCACAGGTCCGAGCCAGATGGGGCCTCAGCACTGAGGGGAACTGAACACAATGCCCCATTCCCAACCCCAAAGTTGTCTCCAGCTGATAAATGCTCACAAAAAAATAACTTTCTCCCAAGATGTCTCACTATGCATATATAAACCATAATTAAGCGCAGGTCCCAGGCCCAGCACAAAACAAATTCAATGGTGTTTTTGGAGCTTTTTTTTTGGTATCATCGTGCTGTTTGAGCATTTTATATGTATATTTATATAGTTATAAGTAAATAAATGTATATAAATAGTTATAAGTATATAAATGTATAAATATACAATAGTATTTACATTTATATACTTATAACCATATAAATATATAATAGTATATATATATATATATATATATATATATATATATATATGACTACTTTATAGGTCTTTTGTTTATATATTAAAGTTTTCAATTTTGTGTTTTTATGGGATTCCTGTGTGTGTCAATGGTATGCTTCTGCATCTATAGGTTTCTGTTTTTTTCTTTGGCTATGTATTAATATATTTTTTTCTTTAATTCTTTTTTTGTTTTGTCCTATTCAGAATTGTTTGTTTTTATCTTATTTATTATTATATTTAGATGTATGTTTGTTTTCTAATGAGAGAGATGAAGAAAGGTTGTGAATTTGGGTGGATGGGGAGGATCTCGGAGGAATTGGGAGAAGGGAAAACCTTAGTCAAAATATATTGTATGTAAAATATTTACGTTTTAAAATTTTTTAAAAAAGGAAAACCAAACCAAACCAAACCAAACCAAAAATGACATAAAGCCCTAAAGAAACCAGCTACTGAGCATGCTGAGGCTATAGTCTGCTATTCACAGCTTCCTCGTTGGCTTGCAAAAGACATTCATTTCTTTTTCTTTCAGGAATAATTATTCCAAACGCTTTTGCCTAGAAAAATTATGTTTTATAGAACCGAATCAACAAGCTTTATTTCTGCTTTCCTATTATTTTAAATGTAAATGGTCTGTTTATTATTTAGAACTCTATACAAATGGGTTAGCAAATACTCGGGACCCTACCTAGGTTTTTATGCTTATAAGCCTTTCATGTCCCTCACATGGAAATTTTAGCAAGTAGTTCATAGACATAATAGCTTATAGCTGTAACTATACTTTTAAAAACATAAATTACATAAAGACAAAAGATACAAGAAGTAGGTAGCAGATTTCCTGTCACATTTAGTAGCTGTACAGATACATGTGCATAAGCTAAACATGGTTATCAAACCTTAACACTTGAAGACACGTCCAGTGGACTTTGTCACAGTATTAACACAGCAAGGGAGGGCACTGGCACTTGTGCTGAACCTCACTTTACTTGGTACTCCTCAGTTCAGGTTTACCTATACCATGGTTCACTGTTCTTTGTTTTATTTATTTCTGATTTTCTGCAGTTTTGGGCACTGTATCAAAATATACTTATCCTATCTATTCGAAATTGGGAAAGAGGGCCATAGGGGACACACATGATACTGAAGGGAATCCAATGAGAACTTTATTGAATTTAGAATTTGTCAAAATACTGATGTTTCCCTCTGAGGCAGCACCTGAGAGTCATAGTTCATTAGCAAACATTAACTTATCTTTTATGACATAAAAAATAACTTCACAAATGTGATAGTAGCCTTATATTAGCCTGACTTTGCCCAATATTGGAGACTTTGTTCCAATGGTATCTAAGACTTACAAATATGCATATCTAAAAGAAGAGGGCAAGAGGCCCTCATGAACCAGCAAGTGGAGCATCCATTAAATTCGTTGAGAACTTAATTTATTGTTTGTAGAGCAAATCTTTGTGCCACGTCTACAATTTAAATAAAGTAGACTTCATTTACAATGTTTTGTGGAGACAATACAGATGTTATAATTTCTTAATTTTTAAAGTCTTTTATTTTATTAAAATTAATATTATCTTATTAAAATAAAATGACAATTAAAAAATGTGGCTGTAACACACGCAACATACCTGCAGGTGTGATCATCACTTACACTTGCAATTTCATGGCCTTCTTTAGGATGGAACACCAAATCATTAATGAAATCTGAATGGCCCTCCAAAACCTGGAACAGAAAGGGATCAGTGGGGAAGCATGACCACTCTACAGTATGCCTATCTAGTATTTTCACTTTATACATTTTTCTGTAGTAGTTTAACAAATCTGCCATTTTAACAGTATGATTTTTATAGGTACTTTCCTAGAAAGGTTAACTGGGAGAGAAGTCATCATTCAACACACTGTTAGCTCAGTCTTTCTTTCCTAGTATGTGTTTCTTATTAAAATACACTTCTTTAAAGTGCATCTGTCCTTATATCATTTCCTTTCTCATTTATTACATAGAGCTCAAATAAAAATTGAAGTTGCAAAAACATTTTGGGACTCCTGAGATAGAGTCCTTCTAGGCTTTTATTATTTATCTGTTGCTTTGAACATTTACAACCAACTAATGAATACACATAATACGAAGTTCACCTGTGATGTTTGTAATCATTTGTTCAATTTGAATGACAGCACTGGAGCGAATGACAGAGAATATTACAAACCCATAGTCACAATTTTCTTCTTCTAGCCATCGATAAAACTAATAGGAACTTGGGATGGTTAATATTATTCTTATACAAAAATACAATACAACGCCAACTCAACCTGAGAGCTACTTATTATTAACAGAAAACATTAAAACAGAAAAAGTATATATATATGTGCATACACATACATATGAGAAAGAGCTTACTATGTTTAAAATATTGTTCTAAAAGTTTTGTATGAATTAGCCCAACCATTACTTATAACCTTATGAAACAGATGCTTCACCGATTATGAAGAGAATAGAGTACCTGCAAGTAGAATTGAGTTTTAAAATGGAGGTAGTGTGGCTCCTAAATGTATTTTCTTTAAGAAGGTCTGCATTTAGTTTTCTAAAAAACTGCTTAAAAATGTTTTACTTTTATTGAGGTGTCATTAAAGTAATTATATATTTAAGGAGTATGTGCACACTGGCAACAAAGCTAATAAATCTACTCATCATGAGTTTTTAGGTTCACTTATATCACTTTTTTCTTTTTCTTTTTGGTTTTCTGAGACAGGGTTTCTCTGTGTAGACAGGACTGGCCTCGAATGCAGAGATCTGCCTGCCTCTGCCTCCTGAGTGCTAGGATAAAAGGCGAGTGCCACAACCGCCTGGCTTGCTTCACTTTTCCTATTTGTGTTGTGAGAACTTAGGACCTCAAGAAATTTTAAGAATACAGTATATTATCTTTCATTTCTTGCAAATGTCAATGCATACATCATGCTCATAGTCCTTCTAACCCAACTCTGTAACCCTGATTAATGTAACCCTGTACTTAATGTTTGTTCTCTTGAAGTTGTATTTCATTTCATTCTTACTCTACCCATCATAAGCTCTTTTCTTAGACACTGTTCCTAGCTTCTATAAGTGATATCGTATTTACTAACTGCCTTCTTCTAACAATCGAGGTGCTAGGGTGTGTAATATAGTAAATGGAACCTAAATTGCAGACTTTAAAGAGATGGTGAATCATAATCATCACCCTGACTGGATCTTGAATTAATGAGGACACAGGCCTCTGGACTGAAGGGAGAAGACCCTCGCCTGAAGTGCCTGCCCCAGGAAAAATCAGTGTTACCTGTCAGCCTGCCTTCACTTCTCACTGGAGCTTGTGTCCAGCCTGCTGCTGCTGCTCTCCCTATTCTTTGCCAATGTCAGAGTGGCCCTGCGATCTCACCGAACACTTTCCAGGACTTCCAAGATCAGACTGGGATCACTGAGGCATTCAGCCTCACACACTGGGCAGAACAGAGTTCCCGGCCTCTTTAGCATGTCCCAGCTCCTACTGTGCCAGGCAGTCTAGGAACTCTACTTTCATAAAATATGTTCACTCTACTGCTTTCTTTCCTCTAAAGAATTCTTGACTAATCTAATGGCCATTAAAGCGCATTTTCAATCATGTAAGTACAATTTAATAAGTAAATAAACATATTTAACATAAAGATTTATTATACTTATCCATATACCTTGTATTCATTTTTATCTTGAAGATCTGAAGTAAATAATCTAATCTTCATATCAGCAGCTGAAGTACAGAATCTAAAGAAAAAAATCAGACTTAGTTTATTTAGCCTTTGTAACTGAAAGTCCTTCCCCATGCCATGTTGCCTCTAAGTCATTGAACCTTGTCCTGATTCATAATGATGCCCTAGGGGTTTGCAGAGGTGGGCAGTTTACACTAGAAAATATTACAGTCATTAAAGAAAGGAGACAAATTCAATGTTTTATTCTGGAACACATAAAATGTTAGCACATTCTGGATTTGTGTCTTCCACTATAAACACAGAACTTCACATTAAGTTGGCATGGAATATCCTGCATTCTCTACCTTTCTTAGAATCTTTGCTATGTTAGGGATGTAAACACTTTTATTCTCCTGTTTCAGTTGTTGTCTGGGAGGCTTACTGCCTCCTTCTGCTAACCTACACCTAATCCTGAAAGCTTCTAGTCTCTGTACCATCTAACCTAGACCTAGAATGTTCTCAGCCTCTGAGACTTACTGCTTAGTAGGTGCACCCTTTGTTGTTCTTGCTGAGCTCCAGACTGGCTGGTTCAACTCAGCTGTTCTGGTTCAAACTCCTCCCAGCTGACTTACTCAATCTACCTTCTCTCTCAGCCCCTGAACTGCTCTGCTGGCATCAAACTCTAGACATCTACTCTAATCTCCTGGCTCCTCTTCATTCTCTAGCTCATTTGGTCTTCATCCGAGTTCCCTCTCTGCAACTTGTCTATTACTGGCCCTGTCAAAACTGCCTACCTCTTTCTCTCTGCATTGCCCCTTAAGTGGCTACCATTTCCTCTCTCTTCTCATCAGAGTTGGGTGTATCCTATTCTGTCAAGTCTTTCTTTTGATTCTTCACTGTTTTTGCCATTCAATTAGACATCACTTTCAAACATGGCTGCTTCCTTCTACAAACTAACTTTACCTTTGTTTGGGATTAAAGGCATGTACTACCACACCTGGACCTAAGCTTCTCTTTGCCTGATATTTGCTCTATACCAGGCTAGCCTTGAATTCAGATCTGCTTGCCCTCTGTCTTCTTGGTTTAAAGGCATGTTTGTATTCCAGCCGGATTACACAGACCTAGAAGATCTTTGGATGTAATTTCTTTCCAGCCAGATCACATAGACCTAGAAGGTCTTCTGATGTGATCTTTTGCCAGAACAGCCATGTTCTGAATCAATATTCCTCTACAAGGTCCCCCTTTCTGTTTAAATTTTAAAATAGAAACAGTTATCAATCCCACAAACTTAATAGTCCAAATGTCCTTATGAAGATCCACTGATGCTCCTCCATAATTGCAGTCCTGATCATCTGTCTTTTAGCAACAGTGCATTTCAGCATTAAGAGATTGCTTGATTATGTCTCTGAGGCTGAAAACGTTCTAGGCCTAGGTTAGATTGTATGGAGGCTAGAGGCTTCCAGGATTAGGCCTAGGTTAGCAAAAAGAGACAACTGCCTCCCAAACAACTGAAACAGGAGAATAAAAGTTCTGTTTACATAGGTGTTTACAAGTCATCCTTTTAAGGAGACCAGAAAACCCAAGACTGAGATAATATGAGCATCTGCTCTTCACTACTAAGAAAGAAAAAAAAGCAGGGATCAAAAGTGCAGCAGGTCAGGAAGAGGGCAAACAAACATGCAACCCCCCTCCCCATTGCAGTACCAAGAAGAACTTTTTAAATGTAAACTTGACAACCAAGAGATTCTAAGTTGTACTTCAGCCATATACAGAGCCCACTATGCAGTCAAAAACAAAACAAAACAAAACTCTATTTCTGAATACTCTTAAAAAAATAAAGCAAGAAATAGAGCATATGACTATAATCATACACAAATATATACAGATCAGGTTTCCAACCTTTTGGCTTCTTTTAGCTATACTGGATGAAGAATAAAAGCTGATGAGTGAACAAAGTGTGTATCACTTTCATGATTATCTGCTGCCACAGATTTCCAAGAAGTCACATAATATTCCTAAGTATGGAATTGAATCGAAGACCCAGAAATAAACCCACACACCCTCAAACCCACACACCTACAAAGGTAGCTGTTTTAACAAAGTAGCACTGTATTGTTTCCACATTTTTTGTGTGCATGCTTGTGTGTACACACAATGGCAGATGTGTGGAGGTCAGAGGACAACTTGCCAGAGCTAGTTAGCTTTCCTTCTATCAGAGGGGTTCTGGAAACTGAACTCAGGTAGTTAGGTATGGTGGCAAGAACTTTTAACCACTGTGCCATCTTGCTGGCTCTTAAATAGTACTTTGATTAGAAAGTACAGAAAGATGACTTTGAGTGATTCTGAAGAAACTCAGGTAAAGAGATTTGTAGTTTGGAGCAAACACTTGGTCAGTCATAGTCACTAACCTACGAAGATGAGACTATAGGATTATTAACTATCCAATCATCTAAGGTTATGGAAATAGGACGGAGCACTTGGGTCACCTGACACGAAGGACAGTCACACTGCACTGAAATGTTTATACTTACTTGATTACTGGAGGCAGTGAATCGAGTTTGGTCTCTGGGCTCCAGGCAATGCCATCAACTCGGACTCCATGGTGAAATGTTCGTAGTGTTTTATACTGAATTCCTTCAGTGTCTGTTTCTTCCTCCTAAATGTACACAGTAAATATTTTAATGTTATGAAGACAAACAATAAAATACTCTGAATTTCATCTTAATAATTTATTACAAGGCATGCATATGCTTTTAAAGAGTACAAAAGAAAATTAGATACTGAAATTATACTAGTTTATGGAATTCAAAAGAATATTGGGGACTTTAGATGTAGCTTTAGAGTATTTGTCTACCATGCACAAGGTCTTAGTTTGATCTCCAGTATCCTGCCGGAGGGGCAAAAGAAATGTAAGGGAACAAACAAAAAAGTTGTTAACCCTCTTTTACAAACAAAGACATAGGTAAAACAAAACAGAAAACATGTTATATTTCACCTAGGAGACATTTTATCTTCAACAGTAAATACACTGCATAGCAACTAAAAAAATGAGATGGTTGTAAAATCAGTTTTCTAGGTAAACAAGTTACATACATAGATTATCAACTGATAGGTAACTGAACATATACCTAAGTTTTAACTATGTGGAAGATCCTTTGAATGGCAATTCATACCTCCAAATCCGTGTTTTTTTTACACAGTATTATATATACATAAGATACTGTAATTTACTTGTTTTATTAGACCAGTATTCCTTAACCTTCCTAATAAGACACTGTAAATATGGTTCCTCATGCTGGGGTGACCTCCAACCATAAAGTTATTTTCCTTGTTACTTTATAATGATAATTTTGCTAGTGTTATGAATCATAATGTAAATATCTGTTTTCCGGTGTTCTTAGGTGACCCCTGTGAAAGGGTCATTTGACACCTAAATGGGTTGCAATCTACTGCATTAGAAGCCATGAACAGTAAATACCAAAGCATGCTGGCTTAGAATACTGTGCACAATAATAATAATAGCATATGGAAGAACAGGGAACCAGCCACCAAAGTTTCCAAGCATACTTCCTGAGAGTGAGAAAAGGCAGTGAGGGAAGATACTCAGGGGTCTTCCAAAATAATTGCTAATCTCTTAATTCTTAGACCAGGTAATAGGTATACAGGCCTATATTTTGCATATTATTTTATATGTTTCACACTATTCTCTCATACATACTTTTGCTAAATCCCAGCAGATGTACTGATTATGCCAAGACATCTTCAGAGATCCCAGCAAAGTCATTTTGCAGGAACCCTAACCACGTCTTCATAAAATTCAAACACTACTTGAATAAAAGTTTAAATTTCAGGTAAAGTTAAAAGCTAACAAAAGGACTTTCCATTAATCAAAGAAGTGAATAGAAATATATTTAGTGAAAAAAGAAAAAAAAAACCCTGCCAAAGTTTTATTTCTCCATAATTAGTATATATTACAACTGTCCAGGTAACAGATAAGCCAAGGCAGCAACCACTAAGCAGTTTAAAATGAAGTCTAAAAATCTAATCATGCTGACTTCACAGTCTGTCTAACATCTATGTTTCCATATTTGACACATCTAAAAATGAATTTTCATATAAAAGCACATATTATTTTGCTACTGTAACAAGAGTGATGAAAAGCAGATCCTGTACTTGTTACTCAAAGTAGATATGGAATTATTGAGCAGTCATTGGGATAATGAAATCACAGGGACTGCACACACTAAGCTTTATGTAGTAACAGGAAGCCTTGCCCTGCCCCTGGCATTACTGTCTGTTATTGAGCTAACTGATGAAAAGGGCAGTGTGTGTGGTATAGACAGAAATAAATGCTATTTTTGGTTCAGTTCAGGGTGTAGGCAGTACTGTATAGGCAGGAAATTAAGAGACTTTGGAAAATTTGCTGTAATAGAAATGGTTATACAAGGCTCCAGCAATTTGAGGTTGAAGAACAGCCAAGCTGGTGGAGGGGCTGTTCTAAGGATTTGAAAGTGGCAAGCCTTTCTACCATACCCATTTACGGCCATATACCTAATTCCAGTTAGTCATGGCTGGCTTATCTAATGCAACTCCCCTACTTAGTGCTTTCATTTTTATTTAAACGTCTGAAAAATATTAAGAATAGCTCTCTGAACACTTCCAATGAGAAAGTAGCTCTTTTTGGGAGAAGCAGATTCAGGGCTACTGGAGTTCCTGACATTAAGCCAGAGTGTTTCCATGTAAATTCTACTTAATGTCACAGTTCTGTCTCTGAAACTATACGGAACAAGCTTAATTTGGTGATGGTAGACCATGCCAGAGCAATCTCTGTTAGGTGAACACATTCAGAGCAGACTTAGCACCAGTTACTGCAAACAAATGGAGGTGACACATCAAACTGTCATCTAATGCCTCTTCTCTGAATTTTAAACATTTTTAATATAGCTCTGAACTTTGTTTTCAAATACACTATCTCCTTTTAATCAGAGTACAATGCCGAGAAGCCAAAATTATAAAAAACATTATCAATCTGTAGAGAACAATGTTGTCTGATAAGCTACTAGGCATATAATCTAAAGAATCTGAAATGTAGGCAGTATGTATACTTACTTTATAAGATATGAAATAAGAATAAAGAAAAATCTCAAAGAACGCTACTATAATATAAGCTTTAGAATAACCTTTATATTGATTATATATGAAGTAGATATATGAAGTTGCATTGGTTAAAATATTCACTTAAAATTAATTCTACCTTTTAAATTATATTTAGTGTGTGTGCGCGCGTGTGCTACAGTGCACATGCTGAAGTCAGAGGACAACTTTCAGGAGTTGGTTCTTTTTTTTCCACCATGTGGATTTCAGGGATTGAACCCAAGCCATGATGATTGGCAAGAAATGCCTTTACCTACTGAACCATCCCACTGGTCCTACTTTTATGTTATTACGGTAACATCTAAACTTACATTTGTGGCTCATGTTATATTCTAACTGGATGGTACTGAATTAGCTTTGTTCAGCTTCCCATTGTGTTGACTTGGGATTAATATTCAGGTGACTAAAATCTGAGTCACAATTTTCTCTTCCCAGTTCTATGTCTATTGTCTTAAGACTTATATTATCTTTATTAAAATTTTGCTTGTTTGACTTGGTCCACTCTATTAAACAATGTTTGGATCTGAACATAGTTTGGTATACAAAAAGCACTTGATAAATATTTGCTAAATGAAGTTGGTTATCAAAGGAATAAGGTATCTTTCTGTTTCATTTTCTCCACAAAAATAATGTGCTTGCCTAAATCAAAGCTGTCATTCAAGTCCAACCAGAGACTTATTACTAAAGAACGAATAAGCTTCAACACTTTTATCCTCATTTGGTCATTCATAAATGAGGCTTTTATGTGCATACTGATTTAAGAATCTCTTTGGGGATAGGGTGAAGACTCTCTCTTTCTTCAACTTCCTGGCCTTTTGTATATTCATTTTGACAAATGTGTAGCAATCAACAAGCGTACCATTTCTACTCATATTTCTGGATACTTAAAGGACAGCATGAGATTTTTAAAACTGTTCTGTTGAAACTCATAATCTTTTATACTTAGTGTTTCGTGATAATGTTACAATGAAGACTTTTTTTTCCTGATACTCATGGGAAAATTGGTTTGATTTATATATTTTTTTTCTTACAAGAGATAAATTGGGTGATATGAAGTTTGAAGGCTCTAGGATGAAAGAATAGGAATGTTTAACAGCATCTAAATAGATCAAAAAGAACAGTCATTTTTTTTTTTTTTTTTTGGATATCCAAGGGCACACTAACAAAACTACATTCTTCAGAATATTTGAACTACCGACTTAATTTGAACAGAAACAGAAGAATGAATCTGACAAAAGAACAGAGTTTAGCATGAGGTCTAAACCTTGTTCTCATTCCTTAGTCATGCAATCCCCTAAACATCTTCGAAGCAGAAAGGAAACTCTAAGAGTAAAGGGTATTTAACTCTACCTCTAAAAAGAGCAGAATATGATTTGTGTTCCCCATATGCTAATAAAAGAAAAATTGTTTTATTTTTTCTTTATATAAATTGGAAATAAGACCTACTTTATTGTTTTTACAGATATGAGGATCAATAAAGACAAGTCTTTTGATCATTTTCCTTGTTGCCTATTTTCTCTCTTTCCTTTCTCTAATTTTTCTCCCACCTTGATTTTCTCTAGTTTTTCCTAACTGAACTTGAACTAGAGGTAGATAAATTAATCAGTATTTGAAGATGCAATTCTATGTCCACATCTATTAATTTAGAAAGCAATGGCAGTAACGAGGAAAACTCAATCCCATCGTATGGCTTGCTTAATTGTTCTGCAGGTAAGCTGCCCATGTTAGAGGAAGTTTTTAATAAGTCTTTCTTAAAACAATGCTACATTATTTGCCTGATTCACGACTTATGATTCTGAAAGTCCATCTGAACTTAGGTCAAGGGTCATAGAAATATAGTACTGTAAATATTATTGTGGTACACAAAGAACTGCAGAAACTCCAGAGGGTTAAATTTTCTCTGCTGAGTATTTCCTATGTGTAATCTAGGTTTCCTGTGAGAAAACATGGTACGAGGTCTCTTGGAAGAAATTTTTCTTTGATGATTAAATATGAGGTTGTGATTGTCACTGATGCCCATATCAACTACACAAAATACATATATGGGTAACAATGTGCCAAAAGGCTTCTGGGAACATCATATGCACTAACATACACACCACACCAGATGTATTGAACATCATATTCCTCACCTTTAGAGAAGACAGGCTAAGTATCTGACGAAGGTTTGATGCTAATTAAGAACAGCTATTCAAAACCATTCAAAAGTACATTTCTAGGTATTTTGATTCCAGAACTCAAAGGGCTAAGATGAACTACTTGCTGTAAATGTAATTCTATACTCGGTTATCTAAATATCTGCTACAGGTACAGAAAGTATGATGGCAATTTAATAGGAAAGCTGAATATTACAAAAGCTGGAAATTCTCGTGAAAATAATTTTTTTAGACTCTCTATATCATCTTGTTTCCTGTGATATAGCATAATGCAGGGAAGTCTGAACCTGACTGCACTTGACTGGACTTTCTAATATGTGTGTGAATGTTCAGTTACAGCAGTCTTTATTAGAATATTCCACTGCTACTCACTAGGTGAAAGAAAAGCTTCATACTTTTCATTTCCATCATCAATGTAATGTTTATACAAGTCTCAGTCATTACTACTGAGAATGCTTTTCACTGTGGATCTTCAAATTATTTTTTTCTTGTATTCGAACGCAATATACTTTTTTTTAAGTTCTCTTTTTTTTTTTTTAGATTTATTTATCTTATTATGTATACAATGTTCAGTCTGCATGTACACCTGAACACCAGAAGAGGGCACCAGATCTCATTATAGATGGTTGTGAGCCACCATGTGGTTGCTGGGAATTGAACTCAGGACCTCTGGAAGAGCAATCAGTACTCTTAACCTCTGAGCCATCTCTCCAGCCCCACAATATACTTTTATACCTCAGCTTTGGTTTGTATAAACTTTGTTATTGATAAAATACCTTTACTTGTCATTCCCTGTAGTTTGTAGACTAACCTGAAATGTACACATGCCAATAACCACATAATTACTGCCACCATATGCAATTAGGTTTCCTGAGTCTCCACTCTCGAAGGGGTTAAATTCTACCACATGTACATAGTCTTCACAATCCACAGTGTAGGCAGCATTTCTTGTGGCATCCTGCTTCATCGTGTATCTCAAAGCTTGAGCCGTTGTAAGATCAAGTAGCCTTCTATGGGAACCCACGAAACTGTGGAGCACAAAATTGAAAAGGTGTTAAGTCATTCAACAGAAGAATTATTATACGGTTTGGTACTACCATGCCAGAAGCAGCTCAAGAGCATTCTGCTTATAAACACACACAAATGACTTTAATAAAAATAGATTCATGAAATTACTAAATAACAGACACAGCTCTATTTGTAGTTGGCAAGTTTTGCATTTTGCTGACATGATCATAATTAAGAATTCCATAAAAGTTGGTACTACCAATATTCCCCTTTTGTCTATGATGAAATTTGCCAAGCTAATAAACAAGTTGAGGATTTAAAAGATTTAGTATGTACTGGGCCCAAATGCTAGAGAAAACACATACACACACCTGCCTTTCTCAGGACTATGATACATTACTTGTTTTAATTATATGACTTTTAATATTCTAATTTGGCAGTTCAGCTGAACTTCAATAAAGGGTGAGATGAGCTGGAAATTTCTATCCATGCCTAAAGAGACAAAGAATCTATGAGCCTTGAAGGATATCATGATCTAGGGATAGGTACATAGCAACGTTAACCCATTTAATAAAATGGGCAGATACAAAACCACAGGATTTGGGGTAATGTGTGATATCAGTGTTATAATGACAGTCACAAGCCTCAACTAATTTGTCATGGGTTAGGTAGTGTGCACTGTGGAAATGGCATTCTCACCTGAGAAGAAGTAATTTTAATTTACTGTTGGTTAAAAGGTGGAGTCATCCTGGGCTCAAAACACATTAACGATCTTTTGGGTATCTGCTGAGTTTGACTTGTGTTCCCCCACCTCGGGGAGCTTAACCTTAATACACGAGCATTCCAGATTGGGCACGTTTACGTGTGACCCGCAGGTGAGCATACAGCAGAGAATATACAGGACGTGCAATAGATTCGAGGTCCGGAACTGATGGCACCCCTCCTCTCTATGTCTTTAAAGCCTAATGTCAGCACTCTCAGGGCCTCGCTAGGAGGCACGGGAGGAGCGTAGGCAAATCCCTGAAGTGTGTCCCCACGCCTCTCCCGAGACAACCCGCTCCCACCTCGAAAGGTCACAAGGAAGAACTCTGGGGAACAGGGAAGGGTGCTTGGGGAAGCAGCACAAGCTGGAGGCCCCGCACTCCGTACGCACCTAGGGCAGGAGGCGACCTGGGCTCAGCTCTCCCGACTGTGGGCGGCCGCCGCGCGCGCCGGCTCTGCTTCCGGGTCGGAGGGCGAGCGCGGCGATTGGTTCCCGGCTCCCCGCGAGGTTTGAAATGGACGCCGCGGCGATTCCGACCTTCGCCTTCCGGCATCCTGGCTGCGCGGCTCCGCCCTCGGCTCTGCACCGCCTTGGGCCACCGGACTAGGAGAATCTCGCCTTTTGCTCCACGGTCGCATTTCGAGTGGTAACTCAGGCTGCTGCTTTGTTAAGGCGTTTCGGTGACAGCGACGTGCCTTGTGTCAGTCAGTGGCGTTGTCTGTGCGGTGGCTTTGTCCTGACTTCTGTGTTCTTTGAGGCAGAATTCACAGAATCTTGTGAAAAGGGACCTGGAAGGTCATGGGGGTTGTTGATGGGGAGACTGAAGCCTTTCAAGATCTGCTTTTAGTTCGTTAGACCAGGGATCTGTCGCAGGGCATTTGTAGACTCCCCAGAATTTCTGTCTGCTGTTGCATCCTACAAAGGGACATTCAGAACCAGACTAGGAGAACAGTTATGTCAATGGTCATCATTTTAATGGAGTATTTTCTAAGAGCTGCCAATAAGGAAGCTGTATATTTCCTTCACTGATGCCTCATAATTCTGTAAAGTAGTTAAGACCCTGTATGAACGTGAAGAAATTTATGTCCATCACGATGTACAGCTAAAACACAAGCGTGGTAGCAGGGATGATGGAGATTGTAGCTTTCTCTCACTTTACCTTCCAGCGACAATTTCCTGTCTTAGAATTTCTGCTCCGGTGCACCTTGAGTGCAGTTTTAAAGCAAGAGTTTATTACTTCAGCCACATTCTACCTCTATGTTTCGATTTTGTCCTCTAGTCCCCCTTCTTCGCTCACTCTGTATAGTGCACACTCTCTAGGTTTGCCTTTTTCATAGTCAGTATCTCATTGATTCTTCACAACAGGCTGGGAGATAAGAACAGAGGGTGAGGCATAGTCCGGGTTTCTTTGTGATAATACTAATGCCTGGGCAGCCAGGTCTAGAGTTTGGCTAGGCTTAGACAGCCCTGGAAAGCTGGGTTACGGTAGTTTGCCAGGCCAGTTGCACTGCCTGTTTGTGAACAGCCAGTTCAAGAGCTAAACATGGTTTTACCTGTTTAAATTGTTTGTGACAAACGACTTAAAAACTATTTTGTGACTTCTAAAAATTATATAAATCAGGTTTTATTGACCATAAACAAAACAACAGCTGTGTTTGTTTATGTGTTGTTCCCAACTGCCTTTATATGATAAGGTCAAGGGGTGTGATTGTGACGTAGACGGTATGGCCTGAATGTCTCAAATATTTAGTATTTGTAGACTCCTAGATGAGACTTTTTGATACTGTAGTAACGCTCTTTCAATTTTAACAAACAGACAAACAGCCTTAAAAATTCATGATGCATGATCATAACTAAAGTGCTTGGCATTGCTGTAAAAGCTTTATACGTATTTGTCTTTTACTTTTCACAAAGGTATACAAGACAAGAACTGTTTTCATTTTCACTCCAAGGAAGTTGAGGCAAGGAGAAGTGATGTAACTTAGCTTAGATCTCATAGCTTAGTAGATGATAGAGCCAGGGATTCATGATGATCTAATTCTAGGTGAATTTTTACTTTATTTATTTATTTTTTATTTTATTATATGTTTAGAAACCTAAACATATATCTTTAAATGCTACCAATTGTTAGTCTTTTACCAAAAATTTATTTCAGGGAAACTAATTGTATCACTGATAGCTCATGCTTTTATTACTTTTTCACTTTTGATTTTTAAGAGATAAATGTGTTATTTTCAAGAGAAACTAAAGCTCTCAGCAATGAGGATTACTATTTATGGTCATCTACTATCTGTTTAATTTGCATCACAGATTATTATTTTACAGGTGACCTCTGCCTTTTTTTATTGGATAAATCTGAGATACCTACCTCCCTATTGCTGCACTTTTCACAGCAGCCAAATTATGTGATAACCTAGATGCTCATCAAGGAATGAGTAAGGGCTGGGGAGGCGGCTCAGTGGATAGAGCATCTGGTTAATTAGGAAGACTGGAATCAAAATCCTTAGAATGAATATAAATGCCAGTGTAGTAGTCTGCTGTAGTCCCAGTGTGCTGGAGGTGTAGGCAAGCTGGCTAGCCAGACTAGCTGATAGGGTGAGGTCTGGGTTCAGCAAGAGATCACGGCTCTTTCTATAAGGTGAAGAGCAGTGGCGGAAAACACTTGGTGTCATCCTTGGGGCTCCATACTCACATACAAGTGAATACGTGCACACGCGCACGCGCGCGCGCGCACACACACACACACACACACACACACACACACACACGGCAGTCAATGATGCCTGCCATAAAGAAGACTGAAAGTAGAAGAGAGGACTACATAAGGTTGGTATCTAGAAGATAGACACTACATCAGGTTATTCTGAAAGGGTTATGTATGCCTCCAGGAGAAGTTATGAAAAATCTAGAAATCTTGGATTTATGCCTTTTGGCATTTACTAGCTTTGTGTCATTGGACATTACTTTCTTCATGGGTGAAATGCAGATAATCATAGATGGACATTATTAGGACACTTGTGAAAACTGAGCAAAGTAATTAGCATTAAACTTTTGAAAAGTGTGGCTTCATGTGTTAGATGACATTGATTATCTGTTTGCTGTGTAACAAAACATGTAATCAAAAACATAGTTACTAGGAAATAACAATGAAGTATTTGCTCACAGGTATTTGAACAATTCTGTGGGTCAGCATCTGGCTTGGATTCCTCTACTTGCCTTGACAAAGATGTCTCATGCTGCTGAAGTTCACCTTCAATGTTGATTGGGGTCTCCATGGAATAAGGTGGCCTCTTTTGTGTCTGTGGGTTGGTATCAGTTGCAGCTGGAGTACCTTCTCTTGCACATGTCTTCTTCAGCAGGTTAGCTGGGCTTGGCACAGCAGGTTCAGGCCTCCTGAAGTTTCCCCAAGATGGGTGATTTGCTAGGAGGACTGGGAGAGTCAACATTTGGGTATCATTGTGGATGTGAATTATTATTCAAAAGGATAAAGATAGCGTCAGTGAAGAGAAAAGGCATGTGATGTGAAGTCCAGAGAGACAAGGCACAGGCTTTAAATGTCCTTGTGATAGAGGCACACAGTCATGCTTAATTCTCTTGACCACAGGTTGTGACAATCCATGGGTAATGTTGTCTACCAAGGAAAGTCATTAGAAACTCTGCCAGAGTTTTTGCTGGGGAATAGACATAGGCATTCCCTGTTCACCATGTGCCCAAAAATCTAGACGCGAAGGAAATTAGATATATAGTTTATAAAAACAGTTCAGCACAATAAATACTCTTAGTGGAAACTCTACTGAAATCTAAATTTATAGATGCTTTTGCACAAACCTCTTAAGGCTTTGGCTTAGAATTCTTATTATCATAGTCAACTAGTCAGATCACGTTGTAAGACTGTTCCAGATTGAAATGGAGAGAAAAATAAACCACTTCTTTTGGAACAATACAGGAATGAGAGGAAACGCCCACCCCCTAATCTACCACTTATAGGACCATTTTTCTCAAAACAACTGTCTTAAAATACAGATTTAATTAGTGATGTCTGTGTCTATAATTACAAATTTGCAGAATTTACATGTCTGTTTTATGTGAATTTTCAGAATTGAAGGTTGTATTTTTGTTATTTCTAAAGATTTCACTTAAGAAAACTAAAGCAGAGGAAAATATGATTGGGAAGAAGTTGTATTATTCTATTTTCCTAAATTTAATTAAAAGCAATCATGGTAAATATGAAATGACCTCTTGTTCACTACTTATTTTTCTCTAACTGTGCTTGCTTACACATGTTAAATGTTACTTTCCAATTAAAGCAAGTCACTTTAACATTGTATTCTGTTCTACTTTAAGAGAATGGCTATGCTTAATCAGATGTCTGTCTTGGATATGATTAAAGTGTTCAGAAGGAATTGGCGTGGTCTTTGTAACTCTGAAAGAACTACTTTATGTGGTCCAGACGCCATGCTTTTGGCACTGCAGCTTTCCATGGCAGAAAACAACAAACAGGTTAGTAAACTATATTTAGTTTAACTGTTTTTAAACTGAATTTTACTTGTTGCTCATTATAATAAGCGTGAGCTTAATTAAGTACATCATTTCTTTGCAATATTTGACCTCCTAAAATAGGATGTTTCAGAAATGCTTCTGCATATTTGTTTCTAAATACTACAGCTGGAATTTTTTGAAAAATATTGCCTATATATCTGAAATAACTTATTTCAAATTATTTCATGTCTATAATTTGAACATGGAATGACGACATTTGATATCTCATGAAAAAAACATAGACTAAATCAGCAACTCTGATGGTTAAATATATTCCTATTTAATAATTGTTCCATTGTTCCCTAAAAGAAGCTCTAGAGGAGCAGATATAGTTTTTGTTCAACATAAAATATTTTGTGCCTAGTTTCAGCACTGTTGCCTGAGTTATGTATTCTTAAATTGATTTATGCATACAGTCATCTGGGAAGTATTTGTTTATTCAGTCATTCATTTATTCATCTCTTCGTTCATTCTTCTGCATACATTACACC